AATAGGAGTGAAATATGTCAACGGAAGGCAGGAAGAGTGTGCAGGAAGAAGAAAGAATGTGTGCAAAAGTCCGGCCAGAGGACAAGGGGAGCAGTGCATGTGTGGGATTATGACAGAAGGAGAATATGGGTGGAAGGCAGAGCTGAGAGAAGCATCGTGAGATGAGCCAGGAGAGCAGGCTGAAACCAAACCACACAGCGCCTACAGGCCATGTTAAGGATTCTGAGTTCTATCCAAGCAGTATTATGGGGCTACAGAAGAGCTGTAAGCAAAAGAGTGATCTGATCAAGTTAGCATTAACATATATCTATCATTCCAGCTCAAGAAGGAGCACAATTGGAGAGGGGAAGTGCACAGACATAGATGAGGTCAGTTACATTCCAAGGCTAATCCAGACAAAAGATGAAGGTATGTGGTGTTGGAGATGGAGGGAATGCAGAGATCTGGCCTGAGTTCAGGCTTATCACCCACTTCCTGGGTGACTTAGGGAAAGTCACTTAACTCTCTGGATTTCAGTATTTCTTTTCAACTTAACATGGGAGTAACAACCCCTCCCCTACCTACCTTGTATGACAATCAAATGGATAGGAATGTACTTTGTAAACCATAAAGGTTCTATAAATATAGGAGGTTGACATGATTGCTCAATCCCACACGGGTGACTCCCTCTTCTGCTCCTTCTCTCTCCAACCATTACTCACATAGCTGGTACAATTTAGAACAAAATGGTATTTCGTTGGCTTCATGGGTATTATTTTTTTCCATGCAACTGAACTATTTCATCCTTAGGGGCAGAGAACCTGTTGTAGCCCTCACTCCCATATATAATCTAGCGCTTAGCAAAGAGCATAGCACATAGTAGGTGCTCAATAAATATTCGCAGACTAATGACACTTGACAAATACCTGCTGGCTGAATGGTACCTCCAGCTTATCTTCTTCCTAATGGAAGATGTTACTAGACACTACCTTGCAATGTTCTTGCCTTGTTGAGGTGATTAAGATTTGCGGCTCCAAAAAGGGATATAAACCCTTAAAATCAAGGACAACATAAGCTCTAGGACTTGTGCGTTTCCATAGAAATTTTTAGATGTGTGGGTATCAACCCAATAAAGACTTGACAGTTTCAGGGGCAGTGGTGAGTAGAACAGAGAAGAGGATTTGGAGCCATCTCAGTAGAGGTCTAGGTCTGTCTCTAATACTCATTAGTTTCAGGGCCTTAATATCCTCACGTGTCAAATAGGAAGTATGGAAAACTATGTCATAGAGTTATTGCAACATTTGAACAAGATAAGGGATGTCAGAATGTTTTCTGTTTGCTTGTTTTTAGCTCTAAGTAACATTTATTCAGCAATCATTTACTGAGCATCAAATCTGTGCCAAGCAATGTGTTAGGTGCTGTGGACACAGAGACGGCACTCTCCAAGAGTTCAGCTCATGGTTAAAACAAGTCACCAATTAAAACACAATCTGGTAAGGACCAGATACTGATACAGGTGAAGACATGGGCTCTGGGGCGGCAGAGAGGGACTTCTCACCCTCTTTCTTCTGAGGCTGTCAAGGGCAGGCAGGGACTGTCAGAGGTCATCCAGGAAGGCTCCCAGGGGCAAATAATGCTTAATCTTACTTTAAAAGGTACCCAGGAACTGGGCAGGTTAAAAAAAAGGATGAGAGAAGAGCATGCCAGATAATGAAAACAACAGATACTTCACTCATTCATGCACTCAACAGACATGAATGGGGCACATTACAAGTGAGGAACTCTAAGGAAATACAGGTAAACAAGATATGACCCCTGCTCGGGGCGGGGCACACATTTTCCACATAAGCAGACAGCTGGGTAAAGGCACTTGTAATTCAGAATGCTTAATATAACAATCAGGATAAGCTCAAAGTTCTCCATTCAGTGCTAATTTAGAAAAAAAATTCAGGCAGCTTAATACGATTTCCAAGATGCAGCCATGTGGAATAAGATGAGGCTGAAGAGAGCGACAAAAAAAGAGCAAGAGGGAGACAGCAGCAGCCCAACCCCTGACTTTGGGTGGTTACTTTACCTCTTAACAGCTCATTTCTTCCAGCTCTAAAACAGAGTTCATAATAAATTGGTGAAGCCACTATGGAGAACAGTATGGAGGTTCTTAACTACCATATGATCCAGCAATCCCACTCTTGGGCATATATCAGAGAAAAACATGGTTCGAAAGGATACATGCACCCCAATGTTCGCTGCAGCATTATTTACAATAGCCAAGACATGGAAGCAACCTACATGACCATCAACAGAGGAATGGATAAAGAAGATGTGGTACATATATACAATGGAACATTACTCAGCCATAGAAGAGAATGAAATAATGCCATTTGCAGCAACATGGAGATTATCATACTAAGTGAACTAAGCCAGACAGAGGACAAATATCATATAATATTGCTTGTATGTGGAATCTAAAAAAAAAAAAAAAAAGGATACAAATGAACTTAGATACAAAATAGAACTAGGCCTACAAACACAGAGAACAAACTTATGGATACCAAAAGGAAAAGGGTAGGGGGATAAATTAGGAGTTTGGGATTAACATATACACACTACTATATATAAAACAGATAACCAACAAGGACCTACTGTATAGCACAGGGAACTCTACTCAATATTTTTTAATAACCAATACGACAAAAGAATCCGAAAAAAATAGTACACCTGAAAATAACACAACATTGTAAATCAACTATATTTCAGTTGTTTTTTTTTAAAAAGAGGCTGTTGTGTGGAAAAAATGAAGTGATTGGTATAAAGTGTTCAGCATGGTACCTGGAACATGATCAGTGCCCAAGAAATGTTAGCTGCCATCATCACCATCATATTGTTACTGTTGTTCTTATTGTTTTTATTAACTTGACTAAGGGGAAAGCGTCTGAGGCAATGTGAGCAACTTAGGGAAAAGGAAGCAGTAAGTACAACTGCTCTCAAACTCTTGACTTCTTAAGTCCTTGAGAAAGACAAGACAGGTCGGGATGTATTATATGTCACCCCTTGCCCCAGACCATTGCTTCTCAAAATCTTACATGGAAAGAACCCTAACGACAAAAGGAGTGAATATTCCCATGAGGTGCCTCCCTTACTGACACTGACTGTTCAGTATTTCATCTTAGAAATCCACTCGCCTCCATAATCTACTCATTTCTGTTATTGTCATCATCATCGCCATAGGAATCACAGTGCTTACTCACTTCCAGGCCCCGTTGCGACATTTTGTATGTATTAACTCATTTAATCCTCACAAGGACCCAATGCAGATAGGTACAGTCATCATTCCATTGTACAGACGATGAAACTCAAGCCAGACACCATAAGCAACTTGTCCAAGATGACAAGCTAATAAATGTTGAAACTGGGATGTCAATCCAGGCAGTCTGGCTCCAGAATCTGTGCTCTCTGGTGTGTTACCTCTCTAATATAAACATGCTCCCCTCCTTCAACCTCACATAGCAATATAGCTGTGAGTAGGTGTGTCATGTTTATCATATGGCTTCTGACATGCGGCCACATGGCCATACCCCGTGCGAGGGGAACAGCCTAAGACCCAATAGCTTTATCCAGGTTTGCTACAGAGAGACATCCTCGCTAAGGACAAACGCCCAGAGCACTCACGTGGCTAACGGGGCTCAAGCACATGATGAGGTGGCTGCCGCCGGGAGATGATTAAAAAATCCAACATTAAACCAAGCTGTACTTAGAGCAGGCCTGTTTTTAAAGTAGCTTTTCGTCAGGGGATTATATTTTCTTCTTGACAATTTCCTTAATGGCAAGAAATGCTATATGTTGGAAGAACAAAGGAGACCCAAGGGCAAAGAGTAGAAGATTCTCACCAAGGCGGGGGAGGGAGGAGGAAAATTAAACAGGCAGAAGAGAAGATGTGCCCCCCTTTTTTTCCTATATAATAATGCTCCAGTGCCTCTCACCCCCACCTTCTCTCCCTGCCTTCTTCTCCAGGGGCACTAACATCAGCCCAGAGCTCATTAAAGTTTAAACAGACTGATCAATACGGACAGAATGGTGAATTGTCCATCTGCAAATTACCAAGCCCTTCATGAATATTTAAGGAACTAAACTAGGAACAGGGAGAAGAGAGAACCCAGGACTTTATTTTTCCCTCTGGAAAAAAACTACAAAGGCATCTCTGTCGTTCCTCATCACCAGGATATAAAACCAGTCAAGTGAAACTAAAAGGGAACAATTCTCAACCAGCATCACTCCTTTTCCCAAGCCAGCAAGCTGACCGCAAACCAAGGCCACTCAAGATAAATGTCTACCTGGCACAACTCAGAGATGCACTAGTCTTGCCTGACTTCCTTCCTTTCTCAGAACCCACCGTGTTCTCAGGCCACTGTGCCTTTGCACATGCAGTTCCCTCTGAACAAAATGAGGTTCCCCTCATTTGTCCACTTGGAAGGCAGGAGAGTCCAGCGACTAAGGGTGCAGCACTGGAGTCAGACTGCCTTTCCTACTTACTAACTGCATGAACTTGAGTAAGTTACCTAATCTTTCTATGCCTTTGTTTCCTCCTCAATAAAATGAGGGTAACTTTATAGGGTCGTTGTGAGGATTCGACTGCATAATGCATGTTAACATGTTTTACACAGCACTGGGCACACCTGAGGGCACAGTAGAGGTCATCTATGGTTATCAGTGACGTCTTCACATTCGGTCACATCTGACTGAATCCTCTGTCTACATGTTCTGCATCCTCCATCCTGTCTACCTGGAGCCCCTCAGTGTTGGCCCCTTCCTCAGCTCTAGCCACAGTCACTTTGCTCCCAGCACATATCACGTTACATCCCAGCTGTCTGTTGGTCTCTGCCATAGACCATGAGCTCCCTAAAGGCAAAGCCTGTGTCTAAAGTTACCCCGACGTTGTCCCTGGCACCAGATGGACACACTATACACACTCAGCAGGTGGGAGCAGGGGAACACATGTGAGAACGCGAGAGTTGAGGCCATACATTTGTGACGATGCAGCACGCAACCCAGATGTCCTCGGAGGACTGCTCGTGGTGGTTGAACTGAGGCTCCCACTGGTTGATTGGCTGGTCTGCGAAAGCCAAGAGGATACCCCTCTGGTCCACCAGAGCTGCACGGACACTGCCTGTCCCCACGTCCACACCCACGTAGTAGCTCCCGAGTTCCTGATCTCCGCCGGGCATTGCCGTCCCTCCACCTGCGGGGATCAAGGGCAAAACCACGTGAAGACCAAGTGGGTCTGCAAAGCCAAGCATGGGACAACTTGAAAGTGGAAATGAAGGGATACAGCTGATGAACTGGTAGCCATTGATTATTTATTCATCCAACAAAACATTCATTGCTGCCAGTGTGCTAACAGGCACTGAGCTAGGTAGTGGGTGAACAGACAGGCATGGCCTCAGATATGGAGTCTCTGTTCTTGGAAGGGAGTCAGATGGTGAGGATTTACGAGCTGCATTAATTATTCAAGCAAAGTTCTGACACTGGGTGAAAAGTGCTATGAGGATAAATAAAGGGTTATAGAGCTGAGAATCTGGAGGCAATAGATATGCATTTTCTTCTCAGTGAATTTGAATCGAAACAAGGACAATGCCCATGGCGCTGAAAAGGAACCTCATCTGCCCAGGCGGCCATTCATTCAAAAAACTATCTACTGAGCACCTATTATGTGCGAACAAGCACTGTAAAAAGTACATACAGCCCCTCTACTCACTACGACTCTACAAGGTGAGACTATTTTTTTCTTCCAGTTTTATTGAGATATAATTGACATAGAGCACTGTATAAGTTTAAGGTGTACAGCGTAATGATTTGGCTTTCATACAGTAAGAAGTGATTATCACAATAAGCTTAGTGAATATCTATCATCTCATAGAGATTTAAAAGTAAAGAAACAGAAAAACAAATTTGTGTGATGAGGTATCTTAGGACTTACTCTCTTAACTTTCATATATAAATACAGCAGTGTTCATTTTATGTATCACGTTGCACATTATATTCCTAGCATTTAGTTATCTTATAACCAGAAGTTTGTACCTTTTGACTGCCTTCATCCAATTCCCCTCTCCCCCTGAAGGTGAGTATAGTTAAAAATCTATTTTACAGGTGACTAAGATGAGATGCCAAGATATACGTAACTTTTCTCTTAATGCTAGGTCCACACACTTAAGAACAGTAAATGCACATTGATGCATTTTATACTGATGGGCAAATAGGTCTCTGAGAAGTTAAAAGATTAAGCCAGCACCACTCAAGAGCAGCCTGGACCCGAGGTCCCACATCTGTCTCATGTCCCTTGCTTTCCTTCTTAGCAGCTTGCGATACAGGTTTGGAGAAGAGGCAAATATACTGCAGCCCTGTCAGGAAGTGACTGGGAATTGGGAAGGAGCCTCGAGGGAGACAGGATCAGGAACTTGTTAAACAATCTGTTTTCTTTACAGACCCCTTGTGAGTTACAAGGAAATCTGACCAGAGAACACTCAGGAATTCCTTGGCCTTCACTGCGGCTCTGAGTCCCTCTGGTCAGATTAGCCCCCATGACACAGACATCTCACAGAGGCTTTCATTTTCCAGATTGGCCTTTTAAAGAATAAGAACAAGCCCCCAAGATACCCATGCTGGTGAACATGCTACAACTCCCCAGGTGAGCTCGGGGCGGCCTCAGCGCCTAGAGTCTCATTTCAACCGCAGCAGCGCTCTGCACCCTTCCACTTCAAAAAGGTAATGTTTCCTTGGCAAGGTCACACCTGGGAATTCTAAAATGAAGTCAGCCAGCAGATGTTCCATTACAGCTTCCTGGCTATTTATCCCAGTCAAAAACAGCTTCATTACAAGTGATAGCTTCTGAGTTGATCACGAAGATTTCCCAGAGATGTGTGGCCCCCTTTGGTTCACAGGCAGGTGTAGAAGCCAATGGGGAATCTGTAGTTAAGAACATGTGCTACCTCCGTCTGAGCTTCAGAGAACAACTCTCAGGCTCCAGCCTAAGTGCCTTCTCATCTCCTCGCCCGTATGACCAGTGGCACCAGTTTTCAAACCATGCATTCCTTCAAGCATCCAAAAGGGATATCTTTCCTTCAAGCCATTACTCGGAAAAATTGAAATAAAACAGATCAAAGCAGAGCTGCTCTGTTTGAAGCAAATATCACCCTTGCCTGGCCCTCTACCCTCCCCCCAGCAATCGCTCTGCTGGGTCCTTCCTCAGGACTCAGGATGGCTGAAAACCACTGGCTGAGGCCCTCTGCACGGCATCCCAGGCCCTCCAGGAGCTGCCATCTGCCTGCTGTCCAGCCACATCCACCTCAGTCCTGCCCATTCTCACACCAAGCTCCAGACATCCTGAACCCCTCGCAGGACCGCAGGTGTACCGCACTGCTACAGGACTGTCTCCCCTCGCGCTTCTCTTCCCTTGCTACCTCCTTCCTCTCTTGTGTGCCTGCTGACTTCCATTTTAAGATCCAGCTAAACCACCACCTCTTCAGGAAAGACTGCCTTGCCTCTCTCCATGCCCTGCTGCCACCAGAGTACTGTGCCCCTACTTTCTTTGCCAACTTTTTGAAGACCACTCGACTGTGAATTTTTTGTTTCTGTGTCCGTCTCCCTTACTGGCCTGAACCTGAAGAAAGGAACTGATTGATTTCTGGATCCCCAGCTCCTACAGTTTCTATATCCCCAAACCAGTACAGTGTCTGGTACATAACTGGTTTTCAATAAACGTTTACAGAATGAACACCTAAATCAGTGAATCCACAGAAAACAAGCATGAACAGGTTCGGGCTTTAATGCTTTAATAGTTGGATTCCTAGGTTTGTACTTATCTGCACTAGTGTTTTTCCTTGATTCTAATCTCGGTATGCTTCATCCATCCAATTAACAAATATTTATTGGATGCTTACAACTACATTTTATTAATTCGTAGACACTCATTTTTTTCACATTTAGCTTCTTCAAAACTAGTGACTCGGCAATCAATGGCATCTTACAACTGATCAGTAGCATGTTCTTTCCTTCTTAGTGGTATATGAAATAATGATGCATCTTGCAATCAATGACTGCTATTCAAAGAAATGTGGATTGTGCCAGGCACCCTGCTAAGAGCTAAGGGTACAGTGAAGGAAAAAATAGGACAGTGCCATGGCTCAGATCTTCCTCGGTCTCTTTATCTGCAAAGAGGAGGAAGCCTGACTGGCTTCCACCTCCCCGAACTGACCACATACACATCCTCTTGCTGTACTCGGGGTTCCTTCTCTTAGCTTCCCCCTGTCACTACTTGGAAGGGCCCAGGGATGCTGCTCCCCAACACTGATCCTGACAAGCCAACAACTCTCTGTCCTTGGCTAGAACTGTCCAAGATTATTCTAAACACTGGAGGGAGAAACAAGGGGAAAAACACAGGAAATGAAGAATCTATACAAACATTCTGGATTACACAGACCTGGCCAGCCATCATCCAGGCTTCTCTGTACTCCTGCCAGCGCCAGTGACAAAAGAGTCCCCCAGGGGGCTGGCCCAGCTCCTCAGGCCTGGCTCCCTCACTTTTGACTGTCTTCCTCTACAAGGAATTCCTCATCTTACCACCCACTACCCAGACATCCTGATTTACCTCCAATAAAATCCAAAGAGGCAGATTTCCACTCTGCAGCTGACTCAGGGCTTCCCCCAGCTCTGGGTTTTGGACCAATCTCTTGGCTAAACAGGAAAGAGCCCATCCTTTGGGAGAACCACCACCCCACCCCCCGCCCACACACACACACACTTGTATGGACAGTGGAGCTTTGCCATTAGACATTAACTCCAGTGCTGCCTGGACCACAGCTGTATCCCCAGTGTTAGCCCAGTGCCCGGCATATAGCACGAACTCACCAAGTCTCTGAGACTCAGTGGACACCTTTAAAACCTATCTTTAGGGAAATAATAAAAGGTACAAATTTACTGTGTATCCGATGCTTTGCTAAGCAGCTTGCTTACATTCTTAATCCACTTTTTATCCTGACATCGACCCCTGAGGATAATTACTGTTATCATCCCCATTTTACTGATGAGGAAAACGGGTCCTAGACTAGTTAATAACTTGCTCCAGTATGTCATATAACTCGCAAGTGATGGAGTTGAGAGCAATCTCATTCCCTCTGGCTCCCAAATCCCTAACCATTCTCAGGATGATATACTGCCTGATACCCTCCATTTAGTAAATGCCCATTTGCCAAGGACTCTGCTAGGTATTTCTGCCTACTCTGTCTACAACTGGCTAACTCAGAACTCAGGCTGACCACCTTCAGAGACTGACCCTTCCTCAACACCAGGTGGCCTCTCTCTGGCAAACTACCCATTTCTAGACCATTTAACTGAGACATCAGTTGGGAAGAGAGTCAAACCCACGGGAACAAGGGCATCTTACCCTCCCTGCACTGTTCGCACAGACCTCCCAGTTCATGTTTTTGTAAGAAATAGATCCTAATTAAATATTTCAAGTTCACCATGTTTCCCATTACTATAGTTTTAAGTGATCTCTTTATGATTGTTTCCACACCTGGACCCTGAAAGAAGAGAAACAAAGAAGTTCAAGCCCTTAGGCAGCTTCCCTGAAACTCAACCCTGTGAGTTATAAAAACTCTGCCAGAGGAGTTTCTGCAACTCAGATTCCTTGTCTCCCCTTTCTGTGCCCTTTGTTCCTGGGTCATAGGTACTCTCGGCTGTGTCCTAGACTCCAAACTGTATTCCAGTCCCTCTTGGCCTCAAGAAATAAAGTAACTGCAAAGTGGAAAACATTATTCCCTTTTCCAATTTGTATTTTTTAAAAAGGATTAGGATCCTCCCACATCCCTGGCACTTTTATACATTTGTTCATATCTTCTGACTGAAACCCAGTCAAGCTGGTAACCCTATCACCATTTTATACTTTGGTGGGATGGGGAAATTTGCCCTTAGTACCACAAACAGCAAACAACAGCAGCACCTGCATTTGAACCCTGGCCTCTTAAGGCAGGTTTAGGGCTCTTTCTACACACCAACCTAAAAGTGAAAACCAAATCCTTCAAAAACTTCTTCAATATCAATATCAACAACAAAGGCAGCAACAACTAGCATTTATTAAGCTCTGCTCTGCAAACCGCCCACCTGATCTTGTGATGTCACTTCACCTTTGTAACGATCCCGTGTGGTTGGCACTATGAGCCCATTTTCCAGTTTAGGAGATTG